TGTTGCGTTGAGAAAACTGTATGCTAACGGGGAATGTAATAACCAAATGTTATTACGAACACACCAGACTCACGCTTAATGTGTTCTTAAGGGACTTTAATGGAAATTCACCAGACTCACGCTTAATGAATTTCCAAAAGAAAGGCGGATTACTTAAAGAAAGAAAAGGATAGCCAGGTTTAAGATTTTACTTACTTTTATTTTATCAATTTAGTTATTATTAATGTTGCGTTCTCTCTCTGCTCTTTGGCCTCTTTCTCTCTCTATATGCTCTGAATATACTTGGGTGATTTGATGCTTGCTCCGGGACTCGCTCACTGGTAAAAACTTCTTATTACGGACTTCCTGGTGCTCACTCCGCACTTACTCTATCTGAACTTGACTTCCTCTAACTTAACTGACTGAACTGAACTTAACTTCCTCTCCAGCCTTGTACAGAGCTTTTTATAAGCCGTGGGTGGTTGGGTGGAAATCCCTTTCCTCAGGCCCATGAAGCGATAACGGCTAAATTTTGTATTGGTCGGAAATTTTCTAATCATATCCAAAATTTCTTTATTGGTCTGTGGGCGTGAATTTTCAGAGAGAGAAAGGGCGGTCCCTTTTTAACTTGGGCCCTTTTCTCCAGAGATGGCTCTCGGAGTGCCACTTTTAAGAGCAAGAGTAACGCTATAGCTTATAATTACTTATACATAATTGTACTAAACTTAATTAATTATGACGAAACATAGTGACTATTATGAACATTCAGAAAAATTCAAACCTTTTACGATTTATTATAAAATACATTATTGTTCTATTTTATTGGTTATTCGGTGACAAAAAGGTGCGCATTATAATGGCTTACAAAATTGATGAAAATCTATTTAATATTACGGATATTTTCTTAAAAATCGGTGGGAAAAAAAAGATAGATTGCATTTTTATGGTCCCCTTCCATTATCGGCGTGTGATAACACTTCACGATGTATACGCGATGATCGTAGGCCCCTGTCAACACATACGTGTGGGACAAAGCAGGATAGAGCGTTGATTGTAAGCTTGAGTACGCAGGCTCGGGCCACTATCAAAGTTTATATTTCGAATGCGTTTTCATCGTGGGAAATCAGGAAGGTTCCCACTCCGTTCGCATATTTAATAATTAAATATAAAAAAACTAAGTTACGGCTAGCCGTCACAAAAGAAAGTTGATGCCCTGAAAAGCAAGTATAAAGAGTGTTTAGAGCATAACAATAAGTCTGGAAATGATAAAAAATATTGTGCTTTTTATGATGTAAGTACTTGTTGCAAAATATTACAAAAACGATAAATATTGTGTTTGAATATATTACTAATTATACAAACATTCAGGTCTTGCATAGTCTTTTTTCTAAGAAACCATGGGCACAAATAAAGGAGAAAACTATTGGATCTAACATCCCAATAAAGGATTTGAACGATTTACCATCGATCATTCGTTCTGTTAATAACAATATCAAACAAGAAAGTAAGTATTGATGAAAAAAGTAGTTACTACCATTATACTTTTTATTATACTAAATCAATTATTTTGCAGAAAAAAAATCGAATGTAGATTTTAACGAAGAAAGACAAAACTACATGAAGGAAAAGTTAAAGCAAGGGGATAAGAAGTTAAAATTGATGGAGGATTATCAAAAGCAAAAATTGGCAAAAATGCAAGGCTTTATAGATCTATTAAAACAGAAAAAATTTGAATCTATTGACTAAATAATACTAGTAACCTTTTTATTAAGAAGCTAGGAATATACTTAAGAAAATGTTTATACTTTTATAATTTTATTACACAGATTTTATAACGAGTTTCTGTATTAACAGTGATTGTTACATTCTAATAAGTTGTCTAACTTATTTTATTCTTATAAAATATCTAGTATAATTTATATATTCTAAAATAAATTCAATGCAATTATACAGTATTTTTATTTTGAAAAAATTTATTTTTTTTAATTAGCTAATTGATTGCATATTCTATCGCGATTTTCTTCACCTCCAAGTTGCGCTTCTTGCGCTATATCCATGACTTCAATTTCACCATCAATAAAGTGTTCAGGTTCATATAAAAATTGAAAATCTTCTTCTTCCATCAAGCATATATTATGGAGTATGCAACAAGCTAAAATATAATACGGAATTAAATCCGTTCTTCTCATCGGAATATTAAACAAAATGCGAAAGCGTCCCTTTAGCAGACCAATTGCTCTTTCTACCATCATTCGCGCACTTGACAGACGGTTTTCGAAAAATTTATCTTCTACTGTTAGGTGGCCATTATTTCTGTATGGTACCATAATATGTATTTGTAGAGTATAAGCTTTATCGCCGAACAAATGGCAAATTTCTGGAAAGAAGTAATTGTTACACTTTGCTGTATATTGGAATATTTAAATACTCTGCAACGATAGTCGATTTAATTAATCGAACCGTTCGCGATTCTACTTCTCGCACGTTAGTTCTAACAATTAAGAGAGAGAGAGAGAGAGGGCGCGTGATCTTTTGAATAAGCAGTTACGCCTCAGCTGTGAACGCGAATTTACCGCCGATTTGTGTCGCACTTTGTTTTCGCCGAATATATAGTTTTCTGGGACAATTTCGTGCGTGAGTGCAACGGTATTCCCGAGATAAAAAGCAGCAGCAGTGCAGAAGAAGTATCGTAGCTAATTGGAGGCAGTACAAGGCAGCGCAGCTAATTAATCGAGGGGCAGCGACAGTTGATAATTTTGCATCAACAATTACGGCTGATCACCGTAATTGCACCGCATGGTAGGTGCACCTTCCTTCATTATATGTGATACAAAATACATTCGGTATTTTGTCTAATCGTGTTAGCGTTATTTTTTGTATTCGCGTCGAGCGTTAGTTCGCGGTAGAATTCGAATCTTCTCTCTCTCTCTTTCTCACCGAACATAGTTAATTGTAAAATCCTATTCGAGTGCGTTAGTCTTTTGGCCCTACAAAGACTGTAGTGATTTTTATTAATTAAAGTCGGTTAAATTTATTCGCCGTTTTCATCATTTAATTTTCCTAGCAGCTTAAGTAATTAAAAAAGGCTTAGGTTTTAATCTTATTACATCTAGGGGATTAAGAAGATTAGAAGTAAAGTCGCTCACGCTTAAAACTCATCGAGTGTCACAAAACACGTGCTCTGCATCGTGGGAGTTTGTTATTAAATACATTTTCTATTTTTCAGATAACCTCCCCCGTTACATGGCGCCCAACTGGTATTAAGACCCGTTTAGTGCGAATAGGATTGTGCGTCGAAGGTAATTGACGCACGACAGAGAGAGAGACGATTGCGCGAGCGTATAGAAAGGTTTGAGCGGGTGGTAGAGCGAGATCGTGAGCGGTACGCCTTCTGCTGGGAAAAAAACGAAATCACTTTGAACTTTTTACTTAAAAATTGTTAAGTTGATTGTAAAAAGGGCCGAAAACGATAACACAGGCCCACAATAAAAACAAAAGTGTCTGTGCAATTGACCAGACCTATATATTCTTATGTATTTTTCGACGCTGAATCCGAATTTGCAAAAAAAAAGAGTAGGGTCTAGCTGCTTTTTTATGGGGTTTTGCTCGAAAAACCTCATTTTTTATGGTTTTTTCATGGTTTCTTTTAAATAAAAAAGAAATAAAGAAAATTTTTATTCTTTTGACTTCAGAATCGAATCCCTGCTGAAAAAGTTCCATTGAAAACCATTGAAGAATTTCTGAATGGTTTTCAATCTTCGATCTGAACACTCCAAATGACCATTGAATATGATTCCTCATCCAACAAGAAATGTCAAGATATTAAATACTATTGGTTCCAATAATATAGATTACTATTGATTCCTAATGGAGATTAATCATTATCAATAGAAAAATATACTATTAAAGTAATGGTTTTCAATAGGATTCAATGAAATTTCTCATGTATGTTACCCAATCGATTTCAATGGTAAAATTCGTGGTCAAATCGAAGATTTGAAACCATTCGAATGCGATAATCAATTTGATTGAATTGATATCAATGGTTTGTTATTGCAACATTCAAGTCTCGTATCGTTGAATAATTCTGAATAGTTTTGAATATGAAAGTCCTAACATTTCAATAATATGCAATAGAAAATATCAATCTAATTGAATGGGTATTAATGGTCTTTTATCGCATGATCAACTTTTTTTCTGACGTTGAATAATTTTCAATAGTTTTTAATGTGAAGATCACATCAATCCAATATTATGCAATAACAGAAATTAATCTCATTGAATAGGTATGAATAGTTTGTTATTGCTTAATCAAGGATTTTTGTGGCGTTGAATAATTATCAATAGTTTTGAATGTGAAAATTGCAACAACTCAATAATATCCAATAGAAAATATCAATCTTACTGAATGGGTATCAATAGTTTGTTATTGCATAATCAAGGATTTTTGTGGCGTTGAATAATTTTCAATAGTTTTGAATACGAAAGTCGTAACAACTCAATAATATCCAGTAGAAAATATCAATCTAATTGAATGGGGATTAATGGTTTGTTATCGCAGAATCAACTTTTTTTCTGACGTTGAATAATTTTCAATAGTTTTTAATGTGAAAATCACATTAATCCAATATTATGCAATAGCAGAAATTAATCCCATTGAATAAGTATGAATGGTTTGTTATTGCATAATTAAGGATTAACGTAGCATTGCATAATTTTCAATAGTTTTTAATGTGAGGATCATACTAACCTGATAGCTCAATATCATCCCATAGCATAAATTAATTCGATTGAATTGATGTCACTGGTTTGATATCATATAATTGAAAATTTTTGTGGCATTGAAGAATTTCGTATGGTTTTGAATGGGAAAATCACTTTTTTAAGTATTATTTTCAATGATATTCAATACTTTTGAATAAATTACTTACATTTATTGCATTTCGATGCTTTTTTAAATAAATAAAATAAATAATTACATATTAAGCCATGAATATTAATAAATGAAGATATGAAAACATTTATTTGTCAGATTGTTCTGTTTCCAAGGAGTCATCGTCTTCCTCGTATTCAGAAAATAACTCTGACACGCTCACTTCAGAACCGGTATCTGCATCGTTCTTTTCCTCAACGAAAAGCAAAGAATCTATTCGATTCAGGGCCGTACTGTCAGTGGTATTCTCGTGCTGATCCACTTCTGGTGACTTACTTTTATCTCTTTTCTTTTTTAAATCTGACAACGTAAATTTATTTTATTAAAAAATAAAGGATGTAAAAAAAAGATTTAATAATTTACCTTTTTTAGATTCCTCTCTGACTCTTTTTAAGTTTGAAATTTTTGTCATCACGTAACTATTAAATTTCATGAATTCTTTAGATGCATCGAAAATCTTTCTTTCTTGATCGTCCAGAAACTCCAAATAGGAGGTTTTCAGCCAATGGCCAAAATAGCCTGTAATGGAAAAAAATACAGTTTTGTGACATGAATTCATGAATAAATATTATGCTGTACATAAATATTATGAAATTTATACTTTTTACTGCTAGAAGTTTGCCTTTTTCCAAAGGCTTGAATTGTTTGCCTAATTTTTCTTTGGCACTCTTATTACTATTGTTGCCAGTTCTCGTGCTTTCTAAAAGAGTTTTTTCGCCGAAAACGGAGAATAACAAATTTCCCACAAGTTGTCCAGGTTTTATTGAAGAACACAAAACATTTGTCATGACTTCTTGAGGATGCCTGAAGCCGTTGCCAAGGTGAATCTGTGAACATAATCATCATATTTTTGCAAGTATATTAAGACAAGCGTGTGAATAAATAATTTATACATTATTAAAAATACCCACATCACCATTTTGATACTTATGTCCAATAGGAAGATTGTAAGGGTCAATTGTAGGATTGACAGCAGAATCTTTTATTTGCTTTTCTACAACTGTGAAATAAGAAATTCAAATTTGTATAACAAAATCCTTGAAAAATTCTCAAATCAAGAACGCAATATGTGCAATAATAAAAAACATTCAATCATTAAAAATATATATGAAATACATGATAGAAGGCGCTGTAACTAGAAGTAACATAAGCGGTTGTATTATTTTTTGTATGTATATTAAATAACATAATGAATTCAGTGACGCGTAACCTTCTATCGAACCAACGGTGCATAATAAATAATAATGGAGTGATGAAGTCTGTTTGAACAATCATGGTTTGAGTAGGAGATGTATAAGATAATGTAAACCCCTATGGAACGGCTACATGAATTCGATCCGGCTGATATGACTGTTGAGCAGGATAGGTAAATTGCTTGTTGTTAATTTATTTATTGACACAGTTATTTCAACATGCTCAGCGGGCATACTAAAGGGATCGACTTTTTGCGTTGTAGAAAAGAAAAAGTCAAGAAAATCAAAAATTTGTGTGAGTATGTGCGTGTGTGTGTGCATAGGTAAATCCACGGAAACTTAAATTTATTGATGCTCAGTTATTCGTTTTGGCAGATTTCTATATCTTATGTACAACACTATCTGACAAAAGTTCGACAATTCTAAGGTTCCGTGAATTTGCCTTAAAAGTAATTTTTGACACGCCGTAAGACGCGACTTTGCGTCCGCTCAGAGAAACACGCGTGCTGAAAATCGCGCATCGCGCTCGTTGTGTCAAAAAGCACGATACGATACATGTGCGGGAAAGAGACGCACTATAGTACCGTCATGTACTATATTTATATAAACATTAATTCATTTCGTAAAGATGTATATACCAAATCCAAATAGCTACATGATTATGCAAGCTTACAAAAATAATAGAACAATGATAAACAGCAAGCGTTGGAAGAAATAATGATTGTCAGCAATAGTAATAATCATATCATAGCTGGTTTTATTCAACGCTAAATATTCTCCTGCAATTGATTTCTATTGGAAAAATTAGCACATCACGAGCTGAAAAAATTTTGCATTCTAATTTTTTCATAGGCTCAAACATATCGATAGAAGATCGTTGTCTGGCATTAAAATGATCTCTACAATTGAATATTAATCAGAATATTTAGCGTTTTTCAATTACTTCTCCTAGCAAGCAATGAATTCATCAACTGTTTCTAGGAGAAGTGAATTAGATGCTCCAATTCGATGATTAAAACCAACTATTGAAATTGGCAGTGATAAAGAAAGGCAGTTTCTAAAATGTGCACACCATGCAGTTTGGTAAACCTTTAAAATATACAATCACCAATCGATTAACAAACAAAAATATCTTACAAAAATTCGCTTATGGTATCAGTATGACACATGGTACTTGCTGTTTCTTCAGCGTCACCCACTGAAAGTATATTTAAATATTGTAAAATACACAGTTTCTCTTAGACTTAAGATGATGACGGAGCTCGGCTAAGTCCGTATGAAACATACAGTCATCAGTCATTATCGATATTTTTGTATTTTACGTCATCTTTATTCGAATTTGCATTTTTTTCTAAATATCTGACCGAACCCCTCATGTAATGTGTTATGTCATTCTCTTAACGCATGCTAAAATTATTTCGCCGACAAAAAATAAAAGTAGCTGGGGTATAAAATAGATATTATGCAGACTTTGTTTCAACGACTTGTCTCCCGTGCTAAAAACCCTTCTTGGTACGTGAATAATATGTAAAATTTTGACCGTCGAAGAGTACAAAATCGTCAATAACTATTAGAGTCCATCAATTAAGACTTTCGTCTTATTTCAATCATGTCCTAAAAAGGGCTAATCTCTAGAAAGTCATTAGATTCTATTTTGCGGCTATACATCAATTATATCTTGTAACTTCTGTGGTTTAGAAATATTCAAAATTTCAAGACATTCTCGACACATTGATCATTTACAAACAAATCGCACTTGCGCTATTCCATAAAAATCTATAAGTTAGCATTGAAGACAATTTAAAAAAATTAAAAACTATAGACCCGTGTTGGTAAAGAAAATATTCGAAACTTTCGACGATCATCTTTTTAAGCAATCTTATATTCGTCATATTAATATTATGCACATACTGAATATTGACAGCAATGACAATTTGTTTACCATAATAATCATATCATATAGAAAAATGAATTGTTTCTTTTTTACATTTTTCATATTCAGTCCATATCTATTGTCTACGTAAATTGGAATAAAAATGTTACTGCAGCTTACTTTCAAATGTTTGATACACATTTCCCTGTTTTGAAAAATTTTATTTAATACAACCCCCCCCCCCGCTACTCTTCTATAGACATACAAACCAATATGAAAGAATGACTAATTTTGCTCCATGGTTTGTATGTCTATGGAAAGGTGGGGGGCTCCGCAAATAAAATATAAAATAGGGAAATGTATATAGCCACGAATAATGCTCGAATATCGTAAAAGCTACTGTAAACCTATATATTACATACCTATAAAAGTACCGTATATTAATCATGAATGAATAATTTTTGAGCATAAACAAAACCTTCCAGTTAACGCGGGCTCTACGAGCTAAACATTTGAAAAGTTCAATGTTTACTTTTGAAAGTGAATTTTCAATAATCAATGTTGCAAAACTTACTGACTCCAAAGAGCTGGAATTGATTAACAGTATTTGTATCGGTTTAAACTATCGGCTTGCAGTAGTTTTTATGGGATTCGAGAATTATTCGCGGCCATAACATGGAGCTAAGTTAGAGTTATTCAGTTACATTGCAGGTTTATATATATAAAGAACGGTAGGGAGCCCTTAACGAATTTTCAAACCGATCGTTGAAATCAAATTTACTAAAATTGCACTAGTTTAATTATCGTGATAAACAGTAATCTCATGCGTTCTCGTACTGAAAAAATTAATTTTTTCATTATCGCTAACCTGCTTTTCTATCAAAACGGTACAGGTATATCGCTGAAGAACATAACATAGTAATTCGTAGAAAAGCAAATTGATCCAATTGAAATTCGTCCATATTTAAAGATGTTTAAATGTAAGGGAACCGTATAATGGAACTATTGAAATTGTTTGGATACATTTTTCATTTTCAAATTTGTACTTACTTTTCTGTTCTTCGAAATAGTCAATAACAACTGTTTGCAAGTTATGATTCAAAGCATCCGTCTCTTGTTTATTTTTCAAAAGATTGGCATAATCTTCAGTTAAAGCATCATATTTCTTTTTGAATTTCTCTTTTTCTTTTTTAACTTTATCATATTTCTCTTTTAATTCTTTCCATTTCTTCTGCTGATTTTCTATTTTATTCGTCAGTTCTATCATTGTCTTGTCATTGCTAGTTGATGACTCCTCAACCTTCACATTACAAAATTTTTTTGTATCATTGTTGACAGTTTTACCTGAAAGGTATATTGGGGGACAGGGGGGGAGGCATTTATAGCAAGTACATAGTAAATATTACTACGATGTAAATATGTCCCTACTTTACGATGTTATAAAGTAACTTTTGCTATGATTTCCGTAAATTAATTTCGTTTTATAAGGTCATTTTTCTCGGTGTATTTTCAAATATCAGTTATTGTGAATGACTACTTCTTTTAAAACAGATAACTCAACCATAACATTACTTACTCTGCCATTTGCACTTTTGGTGGAGTCAAAATTGACAGATATATTGTTCTCAGACTGATTGTTATTGGTATTATCCATATCTAATTCTGTATTTTTGCCTTTTCCATCTGATTCACTAAATCTGGACATTTTCGGATCGCTACTACAAGTTGCTGATTCAGAATAAACTGTTGTACTTAACGGTCTCTTTTTTATTTTGTTATCCATCTTTTTAATCATGCTTTCGTCATCTGTCTTTTCATCTATTACGGAACTTTGTTTCTTCTGATTAGCTTTAGCCTATAACATATTTCTCATTTGAGTATAAAGTATATAATTTCACTAGGAAGTTTGCTTAAGCTTACAATCATGCAAAAAATGTTCTATATATAATGGTATTGGATTGATTTACATTTATATCTATCTAAGTCCATTGAAATATTTTCGTAAAGGAAAACATTAAAACTTATTGAATTCAATTAATTTCGATTGTTTTGGATTCCACAAATTGCTTTACAAGCGTGTGTGTGAGTGTATGTATGTGTGGTGTACTTATGTGCCTATATGTGGACACTTTTGGTATTTTTTGTTTTTCCATTTGCAGATCATTAACGTTGAAACGCTTTGGGATATTTTTACGAAGTTTATTATTTTAATTAATTACTTTACCTAACACGAAAGCAAGAGCCGAATTAATTTTCAAGACAATTGATAATTAAAACAAACTATTATAACACGTGTATATGAACAATTTCTTTCTTTCTTAATTTTCCGAAATCCAAGTTTAACATGTTTACAATGCTTTGCAGTTTCGTTCATTTTATTGAAATTTATAGCTCATTGAATGTTGAAAAGAATTGATCGATAATTGGATAAATTATTATTTTTCCTGTGTATTTGAAATTGCCGCTTTTTCCCTTTTGTAGCTGCTCCCAATGTCATGTTTTTTTTTTAAATCTCACTTATCCATTTCCATTAATCTATACTCACAAATAAAATTCATTCCCGACAATTAAAATTGCATGCTCTTTGAGACAGATACTGTTAGTTTTTTTTTATTTGAACTTCATTAAAAGAACTGAAGAGATTCCAAATGAATAGTTTAATTTTAAACGGCATGTGTTCTAAATCTTTACGTATATTTTTCATATTGTTGTAATTCTACTAGGAAGTTGGCTTGAGCTCACAATCATGTATAAGAAACATTCTATTTATTATTGAATTCTATTGATTTACATTGTCATTTACATGTCATTTACATGTCATATTTCTTTTCATTCAACAAAAATATTATTATATTGTTATAATTGTCTGAAAGAACAAAATATGATATTTTACCTTTATTTTCTCTCTCATGGCTTGAATATTTTCAACTTTCATATTGATCAATTTAGCAAAATCGTAATCTCTTTTTTCCTATAATCAAGAGTTGTAATTTGTAATAAAGTACTAATTGCGATTTCAGCTTTGCAAGTAGCATCTCGTTTTGAGAAAAAAATTTTGATTAAAGTGTACATACTTGGCTAGCACGACCATTAGCTGAAGACTGGATGAATTTGCTAGACTTGCTACCACTTGTAGAAGGTTTTGGATCTGCTTCACTTTCGGTAGTTAATTGGTTCACTGGAATCTTTCGAGTTCTTGCACTTTTTTGTATTTTTTCCTCCATTTCTTCAAGGGTCGCTGAAATAATCAATAACCATTATGATATTAAAAATAATAGTTTTTAGGACATTTGCAGCTTATATTTATACATTTTAAATGCACGTTAATTAAACACGTATATGGGCCATTCTACGTCAACCTTTTTTTTCAAATCTGGTCGTACGGTTCAATTATCCTCTTCGAAAAATACAAAAGTATATTTATGTCCCTTATGTACATCAATTGTAATTAATTAAAATCAATCACTCCCTTCTGTTGATAACACATCAATTTTAGATTCACTGGATTTTATAATGATTAATAGAGCCTTGATCGAGTCACATACATTTTTTAAAGTAGAAATAGTTGCCAGCAACCCCAAATCACTGGTATAAACCTCTCTTCAGTATTATTTCTATCTATATATTTTATCTGTTATAAATGAATCCCAGTTATTAAGACTGTTTGAGAATCAAAATTTTAATAACAGTTTAAAATTAGTGGTACTGTTTCAACCAAATAATTCAATTGATATTTATGTATAACTGGAATACAAAATATTTATATTTTTATTTTTTACATATTTTGTGCCCTACCAATCATGAGACACTTTTTAGTTGGCGTAATTTCACCATTATAGTAATCCTTTGAATTCAAATAAACATTGGAATCGGTGGGTAATCTGTAAAATTGAATTAATATGTATAAAATAGTTACAAATGCAGCAAAATATCTCAAAAGTCAATAGATAGCGATAAAAATCCATTCAAAATCATTGGAAGATAATAAAAATTACGCCACTTCACTCTTAATAAATATTTGATAATTTTTTTGTAATAATAATAATAATAATTAAATAATCGTAATAATAATAATTTTTCTGTAATAATAATTTTGATAATTTTATTTGATAATTTTTTCCGTACTACAAAATTTTTTCAGTCCCAGTAGCCAAAATTAATATTTTTTCTTATAGAATTTCAAACGTATTAGTCAAAATACTGTTATAAATAAATATACACAAGAAATGTATTCCATAAACATCGTAAATTGTTATTCGAATTTCAAAAGTATCGGTTCAGAGACAAATGTGGTATTGCTTTGAATTATATGCACAATAAAAAATAATGAAATAAAATATTAGTTCTGGATGTCAATGGATGTAACTATTTGTCTTGAATGAATATAAATATATATATTTATTATATTCCAATTATACATAAATATAAATTGAATTATTTATCTGAACAGTACCGCTAATTTTACACTTTCATTAAGATTTTGATTCGCAAACTGTCTTAATGGCTGGGATTCATTTATAATAAATAGAATATATAGATATAGAAAAAATGCTGAAGAGAGGTTTATCCCAGTGATTTGAGGTTGTTGATAACTATCTTTACTTTAAAAAAATTAATGTGACTCGATCAAGTCTCTATTAATCATTGTAAAAAACCAGTGAATTTAGAATAATGTGCTATCAACAGAATGGAGTGATTTATTTTAATAAGTATACGTATTAAAGTTAACTTGAAACTGATATATCTAAGAAATATCATTGAGGGACATACGTATATTCAAGTTAACTTGAAACTGATATATCTAAGAAATATCATTGAGGGACATACGTATACTTGTATAGTTTTCCAAGAGGAATATCTACATTAGATTGGAAAAATAACCGTCGTTCACTAACAAAACATTCAGAATATCTTCAAACACAATATCAAAGGTATTATGATTTATACACATCAAATATGTGTATATAATTTTACTGAAACTTTAAAGAAATAACTAAACAAATTTTCCAAAAATATCCGTTAGTAACTTTATCACATGTAAAGAAAAGGTCAAAATTTGGAATTTTAAACAAAATCAGAAAAATGGCATTGAATGGCCTACCTTAGCTTGCGTTTTGAATATAAAAATTTGAAAAAATCACACATACAGTTAACGGTAGAAAAAGAATATTTCCAAAAAGTAAATAAAATCAAAATTTTAACTTGCAGAGATGCTGTACAATATATGACTCACATTTTATACATATGTATTTATATATATAATATATATACTCACTGGCCAAGTGTAAAATCTGCACTTTTGTTGAATCATCCATGAAATATTTTTTTGACTTATCAAATGTTGTAGAAACAAATGTTTTTCTCAATCTACGAACTGAGATTGTTTCAATCTTATCGAGAAATTCTCCTTCCAAATATCTTATTCTCGCCCACTCCACAGTTTTTGGCTCCATTGCAGCCGAAGGAGCAATACTGCAAGCCATTTTGAGTGGCAATGTTTTTATAATGCACAGCTGTATATTTTTCAATATAATCACTTTATTTTCAACGCGTCTTCAATCAAAAGAAATATACATCACGCGCGTGTATAAATTAAATAATGGCAATTATAACGGCAATTTACTTCGTACCAGCATGCGGGCGGTGTGTCAATTATACAGTTAATGCGGAATATAAGCCGGCCGGCTTTGTCTTTATTTCATCGGAAACAACATCCTCCGACCTCCGTGACCCCAGCACATTTATTCATAAAAAATTAGAAACCCAAGTATCAAAAAATTCCGCGTAATCTGCGCGTTCCAAATCCGTTGTTCAAAAAATACCGCGTCTCTTAGTTGCTAAGTAATTGTTTAAAAACATGTTTGTGCTATTGTATTCGCAAAATTTAAGGTTGTTTCGTATATATAGTTATATAGTTATATTATATTGCGATATGATAAAATTTATTGGAAATTGATAACATCAAAGTTTTGTTACATTGCATCTATCTTTTGTGGTAAGTTCAATAAATATTAGTATAATATACAAGAGATATAATTATATATTTATAATATGTACTAGCTTGTTGGAGGATATGAAAAAACTAATTATAATTTATATTTAATTTACCTAGAATACAGCCAGCTTATTTCTGTGTTACAATATTTGTAAATAATCATAATAACACAATGGATAATAGCCATTCAAATTCAGATAATGAATCAATAATAATTAGCAATAATTCAGAAAATTCTGATGAGGATAGTTCACCCTGCTATAAAAGTTCCATTGAAAACCATTGAAGAATTTCTGAATGGTTTTCAATCTTCGATCTGAACACTCCAAATGACCATTGAATATGATTCCTCATTCAACAAGAAATGTCAAGATATTAAATACTATTGGTTCCAATAATATAGATTACTATTGATTCCTAATCGAGATTAATCATTATCAATAGAAAAATATACTATTAAAGTAATGGTTTTCAAGAGGATTCAATGAAATTTCTCATGTATGTTACCCAATCGATTTCAATGGTAAAATTCGTGGTCAAATCGAAGATTTGAAACCATTCGAATGCGATAATCAATTTGATTGAATTGATATCAATGGTTTGTTATTGCAACATTCAAGTCTCGTATCGTTGAATAATTTTCAATAGTTTTGAATACGAAAGTCGTAACAACTCAATAATATCCAGTAGAAAATATCAATCTAATTGAATGGGGATTAATGGTTTGTTATCGCAGAATCAACTTTTTTTCTGACGTTGAATAATTTTCGATAGTTTTTAATGTGAAAACCACATTAATCCAATATTATGCAATAGCAGAAATTAATCCCATTGAATAAGTATGAATGGTTTGTTATTGCATAATTAAGGATTGGTGCATGGTTTACAAAAAGTGTATTTATAAAAGCACTGTATATCACAGTGAAGAATACAATCGAGCGAAGAAAACTGATGATACTGTCGTTAGACTTACTAGTGGACAATACGCTAGAATAACAAAAATTCTCGAACATGACGACGATTCATACATTGTTGTACATACGTACAACGTATTTCCAGAATATCCATTTGAAGGAGTGACTCATATCCGAAAAATTCAAAGCGAAAACGAGATTGATCTCATCAAAACCATTGGTGAAATAGATTGCAAAATAATTTTGGTAGACGTTAGAAATGCTAGATATTTATGCAAAATGCCCAATTCATTTGAAATCCAATAATAATGTTCATGTCAATTTTTGTAATTTGTTGATGTACATAAAAAACCATTTATTTACAATTGAAAAAAAATCGAATACCCATTAAAAATTATATTCGAATATGTTTTTACTTAAAAACTATTAAAATTGATAAAAGTCTATTCAATCAAATCATATACGGAGTTTTTTCATTCATGACCTATATAAAATTATAATATCCAAAGCATAAGATACGATTCTTCAATTATAGTATCGAACAACTATTCAAATTTATAAAAAATCATTCAATTATGGAAATTTTTTCTTTCATCATCTAATGAAAAATTATAGAATAAAATTATATTTGATAAGTTTGTAGAATGAAGGATTATTCAAAACTATACAAACAACTTCTCAATAGAATACGATTGAGTTTTACTTGCATTTACCAATCATTAGATTTCATTAAAAAATATTCCATTGAAAATATTTGAAATTTTTTTGTTTGCCTTTCATAAGAAATTATAGAATACTATACCTCATTGAATGCGATTGGGTTATTTTTATATTGACCAATCATTAAGATTAAAAAAAAAAACTATTAAATGAAATATTGCTAAAGTTACAGTATTGCTTTTGCTCATATTGGCATATATGGAAAACCATTCTATAAAATATTATTGACCAACCGTGTAATTGGATAAAAATTAATATCCATATAATATGATTCAATAAAATATGATTGGACAATTATTGTATCGAAAAATTATTAAAATTCATAGTAAGATATACAATAAAATATCATTGATTAATTATTTTATTGAACTGTGATTGATATTCATTCAATGCAATTGGATAGATTATCATTGAAACCATTCCTATACAAAGTATTATTCAGAAAGATTGAATTCTATTAAATTTAATGGTAAGTTTTACTATTAGTTATGCTTACCATGAAATATTATTGAAAATCATTCAGTTTCAATCGTCATCGGAACATTGAACCATTCAGTTCATTGATTACCATTGAATATGAATGATCCCGAATAGGAATGAATGGAACTTTTTTAGCAGGGCAAGTTGTACAAGTGACCCAAAACCTTTACCTAAGAAACGTTACAAATTAGCTCTACAATCAAACTTTCAAGCTGGAAATATCAGTCGACAAACACAGAAGCGATGGCAATTAAAATCATCAGAGTATTTGAAAAATACTTGTAATCGTAAGTCACAATTAATATCTTTATATATAAGTGTAATCATGTATCATATATATAGTCAGTATTTTATAGTAGAATTATAATTATAATATATAATATATAATCAAAGTTTAGAATTGATAGCAAATAAATCAAAATAACTGCAGTACGTATTCCAGTTAGAGTAATATATCTAAAAGTCTATATACATATATAATAATTTTTACATATTAAATACATTATTAAAAATGATACCTTTAACTGTATAATACACACATATACACATGATATATCAATGATATATAGATACGTAATTATCATTGATGATTCTATGTTATGGACATGAAAATCTAAAAATTGAGATAAAAGATCCTGAGCATGCATATAAATGATACTTTTATTTCCAATTAACTGAATAAAAATGTCACTTTTTAATTCATAAACATAATTATAGATTATATATGATTTTGAGAAACAAAATCATCCTGTTGAATTTCAAAATTACAGGATAAATAAATTGTGGAACTATTTAGGGAATATATAGATAAATGAAGCATACATGATTCACATAATTCTTGAAAATTTAATTTTTTTTTTATAAAATAACTTGTTATTTATGAAAAATTGTCAGAAATAGTTTGTATGATTTTAATTATAATTTCTTTTGATTCATGCTGTTAGTCAATGTAAGAAAAAAATTAAATTCCTGCAAACCTTCCAATGTATTTAAATGTTTGTAAAATCCATTATAAACCATTGAATTCTATTGCAATCTACTGAAAACTATCAGAACACTATACTATTTCTTATATTTTAACAGATCTCTCACTATTAATATTTTATTTCATTATTTTTTATTTAGTGTATTGAGAAAAATATCACATTTTTCTCTGAACGTGATATTTGAAATCTCAATAACAAATTACGATGCTTGGCATAAATTTTTTTGTGGATATTTATTTATAACTATATTGCGACTAATAAGTTTGAAATTCAACAAGAAAAAATATTCATTTCGGCTACTGTGTCTGAAAAATTTTTCAACGATTTTGAATCGTTTTTTATCGTTGTCTATTGATATTTGAAATATTTTGCCGCATTTGTAAATATTTCAATATCTATCAATTCAATTTTATAAATTACCTACCAATTCGAATGTTTATTTGGTGTTACTTTAGGTTTTTTGGGTCGCTGATTACGAATTTTTTGGTGAACCAGCCCAAAAGTTGTTCGTTTTTTTGTTATTAACATTTTTATTGCAAAAAGACCTGTTTTTTCGCTTTTTTCGCTTTTTTCACCTCTTATAACAAAAATCGGACAAATGTGACCGCGCCAATCGATTCTACGGAAAAAATTACATAAAAAGCATCCTCAATGTTTATAATTAAGTTACTGTTATTATTATGGAATTCAAAAAACAATGTTCCTGAGCGCGCGTATGCTAACCATACGTATACACGCACGCGCTTCAAGTTCTCGATGAATCAGTACAATAAAAACACGATCTCTCACTCTTATCATATTTTTTTATTATTATTATTAATAATTCCTATTTGCAAGACGATTGTAAGATTTTAAATAATTAATTAAACAGCTGCATAAATATGCGATTTAACAAAACGCGACTACATATCATACATTGGATTTATTATTTTCTAGTAACAGAAATAATAATAATTGGTATTCTTACTGATAAAATCAAGTTTTCAATTATTTCTATCTTGTATAAGAAATACGTAATACGAATTCAGTAACAATCTACAAACTTTATATCCACCGATAGATGAACTCGTGCCGAATTGTTATTGTAAAGTGTGTACAACTAAAAACACTGTATCTGCAAATCAAGAGGGCTGCCTTGTATATCTTTCTGTTTATGTCGTTCTCAAAACAGTTGTAAAAATTCATTTGACAACGTATAACTATAATAATATGTATATAGTATAAATTACCTGCTGTAACTGATATATATACCCATGAACCAAAATACAGTCGCTTAATACATCTGATGTTAATTATTTGAAATCTTACAATAGTCTTGCAAATAGGAAGTTATAATAATAATAATAGTAATAATACAAAAATATGATAAGAGTAAGAGATCGTGTTTTCATTGTACTGATTCATCGCGAACTTGAAGCGTGTGCGTGTATACGTATACGCGTGTATACATATGGTTAGCATACGCGCGTTCGGGAACATTGTTTTTTGAATTCCATAATAATAACAGTAACTTAATTATAAACATTGAGGATGTTTTGTAAGTAACTTTTACC